CCAGCTAGCCAATCAGCGCGCTGGGGCCGTCAATCGGCAAGAGCGCCAAAAAAGTAAGGGTAGGTTGAACTTTATACCACCCAGTTATGACACGTGATTGGTACACACTACACCAAACTCGACCGATGAAGTTTTCCTGTGAAACGGCACAAGGTTTAGGTTATATGCTTGCCGTCAGGTAGAAAAAAAAATTAGGAAGAATTAAGTGGATTATTGTAAATGCACCAAACGGAGTAGAGTCTTCTTGTAGAAGAAATTACAATAGATAAACAATGAGAAGGAGTCTGTTTGAAAGTTAGTATGATCAACTAAGGTAGCATCCTCGCTAAACATTTTCATTAAGACTAAAAAATGAAGAATTTTAAAGGAATAGAGACAAGAACTTTGTTTTAAAAGAAGGCAGAAAAAATTTACCCTAGTTGCGTTACGGAACCGTGCAGAAAATCACGGCGTACAAGTTACTGGGGCATTGTGCTGCACATTTCTGCATAGCATTCTCCCACACTCGAATATAAGTTAGGTCTTGCTATCGTATTTTTGATTCTTTATTTCATTTTGGCAACAGAATGAGACACTGTAAACTATCGTTTAGAAGAGATCCTCGTCATTAATTTTTCAGCACACGCAATCTTCAGAAGGCATGACTTTCCCGAACTGGTCGTCCACGAATGACAAGTCTGTTAGTTTTAAAAAATACAGTTGTTTGACACTTTGAAAATTAAAAAGTTGTGCATTTCTTGCCAATAAATAGGTTATTCATTCTCAACAATTTTTTTTAAAATCAATACTGAAATTTATATATTATTGAACGTTTTAATTGTTCCTCTTTAAATTCTTATTCGTAAGCATTCCCTTCGTCTTCTTTTTTCAAGCATTTTACATTTGCAGTTGACCTGTTTGCGTTATGACATTCACAATTCTGGAATTATTGGACTTTCTGGAAATTTTTTAGACTTATAGTTTATCGTTTTACAAGGCATCTTTTTCTAGTGTACCTGTTACAAATTTTAGTTTTTTCTTGGTGAAACAAAAGTAGTGGCTTTTCTACAATTGATAAATTTTGTGAAAAGAAGAATTGAAATTTTGGAACTTACTTGCGTTTCTGCCAAATGACTGATGCGTGCGCTGACTAGGTTGTTAAATTAATGTCGAAGTACGTAAATGTACATCAAGTTGCATAATTTTTGGTCACCTTGAGTTTTTTTTTATTAAAGGAACCGGTACAGCGTAACTTCTGATTGAAGAACAAATAAAGTTTATCCGCAAATGTCGCAAAGTTAAGTCGTGTTAAAATGTAAGGCAAATGTTTTTAAATCAGAGGTCAGTTTCTCTTTTGCCAGTAGTAGATTGGAATGCTGCCCAAAATGAGTAACAGAACCCAATGCCGATACATTCAGGGTCATGATCATTCAATCTCCATTTATGATGCACTGTTGTGCTAGGTTGATTTTTACGTAGAGCTTGTAAGACGCTTCTTTAAAATACTAGTTATAAGAAAAAAGTAAGAATTTTTGGAAGGCTGTGATTCGGCAAAACTATGGTGTTTTATACAGACAGCCGCAACCTCTGAAGGAACAGAAAGCTTACAACCTGCATGGTAATCGCGTTTTTGTGACCTTGCTGGGAGCTTGTTGCAGTTGATTGAAGTCAACACAACCGTTGTCATGGAAAACGATATAAGTCGTAGAAGTTTTAAAACTGTCTCTTACAAAATAAAGAGTAGGATACTCTCCATTTCCGTTGGAACCGAAAGTTTCCTGCGTTGGTGCCTTTCTTAGTACAACATTCATCTTCTTGTTTTTGAATGCTCTCTTAATTCTTGTTCAGTCTTAAGATTTCAGCCGGGAAAGTTTTTAAAATTCTTCCTGTTTTGGTTATTTCGCCTCAAAGCATTTTGCTTATTAATATTTTCTCTTAAGTCAAAGTGAGCTAGAATTTTTGAGATTTGTATCAGTTAAGAAATAAAAAATTTTCAGACACAGACTTCTGAAGAAGACATTCCAGACACATTAACAAGGCAGGCTGATAAAATATTATCACTTCGAGTAAGCAACTTGAACGTTCACATGACAATATCACCGACACAAAAAACCTACCACTCTATCTTCAATTAAAATATTTTTAAATGTGTAGCAGCTAAAATTTTAGTCGCGAAGGTCTTTACCTCCTGAGCAAAGGCAAGAAAGGCCTCGATCTAGAAGTGTTTCATGTGGCTCTGTACGAGCAGAAGTAAGATCAAGGGCGTTGTCCAAGACAAGGACTGCAACAAAGTCTGAGACTGACACTGAAACTTTGCCGTGGAGTGATTACACCACTACTGCGATGAGAAGAGGAAGTCCATCTTTGCGGGACTTAAAAGTAGAGTTTACAAAAATTCCTTTTTTTTAAAGTAGCTTTTGAATTTAAAAAAACAATTACAAATTCAAAGTTTATAAAAAAATTTTGTGATAATAATTTATTTTAACAAATTATTTATTACCAAAAATATCACTTCTTACTTTATTTATCACTTTTTAAAAATTTTATTTACCTTTAAAAATTAATTGAAGACTGTAACTGAGGCACAGCAACAGAAAAGCAATAAAAGATTAACATTTTATACGTTAATTTAAGTACGAGCTCTATTAAAGCATTGCACTACTTGAAATATAAAAGGCTGCTATAGAAAACGCTAAATTTACCAGTCTAACTTGCAGCGAGCATCAGCCAGTGAAGCTGACTATATAATTTGCGCAAGAAGTCCAAACTGTACAATTTGCGCCTTTAAGTATGTAAGTATCCTTTTACTCTTTCAAAAATTTGGTGCTATTTCCAAATACCTCATAGCTCTGAAGACATTTGTGTTCTTTGGTTGGTGTTTGATTTTAGCTATTTGACATACTTCTAAAGCGTGTTTCAAAATATTTTTCAGTTTGCACTCATTTTCGCAGCTCGTAATGCAATATCAGTTTGCTGTTCATGCCACAAACAATTAACTAGGTTGGAGTGATCTATGTCTTTTCAAACCGCTCTTACCTTTTCGTGAAGCAAGCTTATAGAAAGCTTGACTGGGAAGAATGAACATTGTATATTGTAGTTTAAGCGAATATAACTGCTAATGAAAGGCTTTCACCCCAACTCTTTATGAAATCACTGTTTCATTTTTATACATTTCTTAAATTTTTGTACATTTACATTCTTTCTCCACTATTCCTGATTTTCAAAAGGCATATGATTATTTCCATATGTAATCGGGAAACGTGTATTTTTTGCTGAGTAGAATCGATTAATGAAGAAACTAGACTAGCGATAAATTTTGATTTGAGATTGCTTGGTAAACATTTCACTAAAAACTATGATTGAGGGAAGGTGCTGTTAAGGACAAATGTTTTAGCACTATAAGAAATGAAACCAGATGCACATTTATTTCCACAAGCATACTGAATTCCTTGTTTCATTTATGGACATGCAAAGAGGAACGGTACTAATACGGAGGAACCGTAGCTACTTAACACAACTCTCTTACCTAAGCAATATATTCTGTACTTACGGATAATTTTTTTTTGGCGCTCTTTCATTAGGTCTTGAGAGTAACACGTCAAAGTAAATCTCAACATTTGAAAACCTGAAGGATGTGATTCTTTTTGAAGCATAAAATAAGTTGAATGGCGAGTTAATATTTACAGCTTTGAAATCTTGTGCAGAGCAATTTTCTGATTTCATGATGGTACAAAGTTATGTCGGTGTATTAGGTTAAAAGGATTTCTACCGTGTTTTTCTGTCACTCTTTGTAAACGCAGCTATGGTAGTACTCTATATAAACAGAAGCATGGTTGCAAAAACTGGTAAAGAATAAATTATTTTGATGTTGTTCATAAAAATTATCAAGATTTTTCTTCCTCGACAGGCCCCAGTGTATGCCACTGTGCGATTGGACGCCGTGGGCTTGCCAGCATGTCCATCCAATGTCGAAGTTCTGCACCAGTTGCTGAACAGCCTAGCATCACGCGGCCAATTGCATCGTTGGAACCTAACTTATCGTAATCCATGACAGTGATCATCAAGGAAACTTTCTAAAAAGCCGCAGTTACTTTTTTGTATCAGCAATTGTTACTAAAATAAAGGAGCTGGAAATGAAATACAAGATGTGTAGTAGAAAAGTTTGGAAGAATATTTTTAAACTATATTTTAGCTGTTGTTCTAAACTTTTGTGAGAGGTAACTTAGCGAGGCTCTGCGGAAGAATATCGCCTGATTTCAAGATATCGCCT